GGAGCAGAAAAATGAGGCAATAAAATACAGGTACATCCAGATTTACCCATGCAGTATCTGCCGACCATCTGAGATAGATAACATTAAGACAGTAATAATCAGCTTCTTCAGCTTGCACCACCCAAAATTGCCCCAGGGTGGCTACTAAAATGGCAACATATGCAGGTTTCTTTTATACCTTATGAGTGACATGAGTTCCACCAGTATCATGTCCCCACTGGTGTTTTAAGGTTCTTCTATTTCCATTCTGAAATAGACCCCCCCACAATAAGATCTGGACAATAACTGTCTTACCGAGGCCGATGCCGCACACCACGGCCGCGGCGATGAGCGAGCCCGCGGATGATCCATAGACCTTGCAAGCGGATTTGAGGAGTTCGGGAGCCAGCTCCAGGAGGGACTGAACCACCCCAACCTGGTACAGGGCAAGAAAGCCACTGCCCGAAAAGGAGAGCGAGAAAGGGGTGCTCAGAGCCCGGAGATCCTCCTCAGCCATCGCAAGATCCCGCTGGGTGTCTCGGCTTGTCCTTTATCACCAGGTGAACCTCAAGCTGTCGTCTCCTCTGCTTCCTCCAGGCTCATCTCTGGCTGCCCAGGAGACTGTAAGATGGATTTTCTACCTCCTTCTATGACAGCTCCCTGAGGCGTTTAGATCCACAAGCTATTTTAATTGCTGCCTGTGCTAAAAACAGACGTTTTCCCCTGATCAAAACAGCTCTTGTAATCCTTGGCCACAGCCAGATCATGTGCTCAGGGCTGAATCAAGGCTCCACTCTTCCACCAAGACATCTGAATTGCCCCAGGAGCCCTCCTGGAGATGGTCCTTGCATTCCTGTGCCCATCACAATTGGAAACATCCATGTAAAATTGTCTCTTTGCTTCGTGCTTCCTTCATCCAGGGTGTTTTCCTAAATAGGATTCTCCATCAATCCCGGCTTAGGCACAGCTCAGCACTGAGTGAGTAAAGGCTTGTATAAGACACTTAAAGCCAGAGGGTGTTACACAAGGGGTGGATGCAGGGAGTTGCATGGGATTAGGTTTGGAAATATTGCTTTGATTTGCTCCCTGTTGGAAGGGTTTTGTCTTTGCCTGACTCTTGGATATCCTTTGGGAGGGAAAAACAAGGAGCTGAATTTGCTCTTGTCTTCTCCCTCAGCACTCTGCTCAGTAAAGCCCCAGGAGGATTCACCGTGTTCCCCAAATCCGGGGTTACTGAACCAAAATTAAACTGCTTTTGGGCTGTCTTAATTAGCTGGGTAATAGCTGAAAAATAGGAAGAAATCCACTAGATTTCTAGTGTCTTTTCAGCCTCAGCACCCTGATGCTGCTGCCAGCGAGCAGGGTTGCATTTTGAACAGATGTATTTACTAAATACTACTCAATATTATGTTGCTTCTGATGTCCAAATCCACACAGTGTGCACACTACACAGTGAGAATTACCTTCAAGGCTGTGTATATATATACATGAGAGGGGCATGTGTGCAATAAGAGGCTGAAGGAGAGAGCTCTCATTGGCCATATTGGTGCACCAGCATGGCCAGGACAGTACAAGAAAACAAAGGATGGTCCCAGCATCCTCATGCAAACTCTGCAATCCTGTTTCACCTCCATTTTCATTTTTCCTTGGCCATCACTGAGTCCCCACCATGAGATTTGTGTTTGCTGTGATACCTGGGTGTGGAGACCCCACCTCAGGTGCAAAATGTCCCTGGGATGAAGTTTTTAGCCCCTCATTGGGTGAGTCTCCCATGAATTCCAACCTTTCCAGTGGTCTGTGAGCTGTGATCTGTGTGATTCGTGCCACTGCCTCCTCCAGCCCTTGGGAAAGCAAATTCCTTCATTTAAAGGCTTTCCTTCCAGCACTGGCAAACACGAAGGGCAAAAGGTATCATCTCTCCCTGTGACTGATCCCAATTGGAAGTGCAGGAGTGTTGGCACACTGGGAGGAATTGTTTCCATGTGCTCTGTTCATTAACTCTGCCAGTTATGTGCATCAAAATGCAGGGAATTCAACAGGCACTACATGGACTTGCACCTCCTCGGTCAAGTCCAGCCCCAGATGCCAAGCTTTGGGAAAGGTGAAAACAATCCCATAGGACCTGCAGGAACACATCCATGGGATCTCCACACTGGTTTGTGTTGAAGGGACCTTAAAGCTCCTCCAGCTCCAACCCCTGCCACGGGCAGGGACACCTTCCACTAGAGCAGGTTGCTCCAAGCCCCTGTGTCCAACCTGGCCTTCAACCTGGCCTGTTCCTCCATCCAGGGCACAGCACGAGGACAGTTCCCTCAAGGCAGGGAGGGAGTTACAAGCTGTGCCCTGCACCCTCACACGCTGCCACATCCCAGGAGGCATCATCGTTCCTGGCCCGGTGCCACGCTCCCGTGAGATGAAACCTTGTCATTATCCTCTCAGTGGCAGGGAATTGGGCATTAACTGGCTCATTAAGGGCTGGTTTCTAAACCACCCTCCCCCTCCCGGCACTCAGAAAAGCGGGATTAACAGGGACTAAGGACACAAGATCCCAGAGGCAGCCTGAGATGCTTTCAGGAGGAGAATCCCCAGCTCCCATTGGGCACCAGGCGGGCAGGGGGCTGTATGGGGCGTGAGGCTGCGTCTTTCCCAGCAGGATCAGTGCCCAGATGGCCGGTGTCCGTGATCCCAGGGATTGTCAGTTGAGGAGATTGTCTTAGCAGTTTGGAGCCACAGCAGGGAAGGATGAAGGTAATACCGAGAGCTGGAAACCAGTCAAAACCCTGGGGCTAATAATTTGCCCTTCTTTAATATCCTCAATGCCCACAGGCAATCATGGCTCTCAATTTTATGACCAAGACATTAAGCCAAGATGCTGGAGTCGCTCACAAGAAGGGACCTGGGCTCCCAGCTCCAACAGCCCTGGGGTGCTGCACTAGCAGCAGCTTCTGAGCACATCCCACCAGGCTGGAGCAGCATCCTGGTTTGGGGGTGGGTTATTTGGGATCAGGAGCACTGTGTGCAAGGGCCTGTGCAGGTTTTCTTCTTTTGTTTCCTCAGCACCACTGACCTGATGGGAGGGGAAAAGTTCAGTGACCACAGAAGGAGGGTATTTGGTTCAGCCCTGCTACGAGGAATCTGGTGGTTTTCACACACCTAATTACCCTGGGTTAGATTAGATGGAGCCTCTGCAAAGTGTCCCCTCTCCTTGGGGCTTTTCAGTGATTCAAAGCTTTGTCTCTATCACATGTTTCCTTAAAGGCTTTGCAAATGGGGATGTTGATCTGTGTGAACGGCTGCTTCCTTCCTTTGTCACTTTGCACCGTCACCCCATGCACGGACTGAACCAGACCCGCAGCTTGGTTCACCACCATCATCTCCTTCAATGCACTAGATCATCCCACCTCTTATGCACTGCAAACTGCCAGATTTTGTCCCTTTCACGCCAGGCTGGGTCCAACTCTGGCAAAGGAGATGCTTCTGCTGGTGCCACCACACTGGGCGCTGTCAATCCCCCCCAGCCCCGAGCTGCCTTAATCCATGGCCCTGCTTAGGGGTCTGGGCAGAGATTAGCTGGGAACACTCCCAGAGATCAGGCTTTAATCGCTTTGACATTTCACATCTTCTTAGACCTTGGAGGCGAGACACCAAGAGCCCTAAATCCTCTCAGTCCTGGAGCGAGCCACAGCAAGGGCAGCTCCCGCACCACTTGGGAACAAGCTTTGCGCAGTTCTTGGTGTCACATCAAGCTGCTTTGGTGCATAAATCTCCTGCTGCTGGAAAGGGAATGGCTACAAATAGTAAAAAGTGGCAGGATCACACCATGTGTCTGCTGTAAGACTCCCTTTGTGCCACTGGAAGGAGCAGCTGTAGCAAAGCAAACATTATTCCATGTATAATGCCCACACGCATCACCCATTAGACAAGCCTGGCTGTCATTTAGGGACCATTTTATTGGAGTTTTAGGGTTTCTTTCCTGAATGGAAGCTGGGCTGAGAGCAGAAGAATGTACAAAAATACACTGTACATTCCCAGATACACATAGAAAAGCAGCTAAATAAATACACAGACACAGACACAGACACAAACCAACCATGAGGTTCAAAACATGCACTTGGTGAGAGCTAAAATGCAAATACAAGGTGAAATTTGGGCTTTGCTTGATTTACAGACTCTTTGCGCCCAACCAGGTGGTGTTTAAGCATTTCGTGCTGCTGTGGCTTTTCCTTAGAAGCTTTTAAATCCACAGCTCTGGAAAATCACCCCACATCCATGTCACCAGGACTGTGCCCTCCATCAGTAAATCCACATCCTTCCCAGGCTCCACGGGCTCTCCAGAGCAGCCACTGTCAGTCTGGGCTCTCGCAGTTGTCTCTTCTGAGCTCCTCTCTGTTCTGCTGAGACAGAAGGAAACACTTGTGAGCTCCCTTCCCAAACTGAGCTGGTGCTATTGGTCTGCCAGATGCATCTAGGAGGAAATTCTCCCTGTTGAAGCTGCAGTTACACCAGGTTGCAGCAATGCTGAGCACTGCAGGGCATCTCCTGGCTGCATCTTGCAATGCATCTAGCAAGCCCCCAGTACAAGCCAGCATGGCCCAGGTCTGCCAGTCACCCTAAGATTACAGCTCTTGCAATTACTCTGTGCTGGAAGCTCAGCCCCAGACTCCATCCTCCACCCTACCTGGAGAATTCTGCTGTAGGACAAGGGGGCAAAGGAATCCTCCAGGTAGCGGGTGCCGAAGCCCATGATCCTGTTCACTGCCTGGTTGCAGATGCCCGCCACCCTGGCAGTGAGGTGCACTGTGAAGGCAAACTGGATCTCTTCGGGATTGACATCGGGTCTGCTGGTCGTCATTTCCTTACGGACGTAGGCATCAGCCAGGTTCTTGAAGGAGCTGTAGGACATGTCTCTGAAGAACGTTTGTAGCTGCGCGTCTTCCTTCACCTAGTTAAGAAGCAAGTGAATACATGTGAATAACCTGGTGTGTCATCCATGTGTTGATGCCTTTGCTCCACGTTAGGATTGCAGCTGAGGGAGGACAGACAGACACGATCACACCCAGTCGGGGAATTAGAGGATGCCATTTCCTTGACTTCACCATTTCCCTGCACCAGGGAAATCAATGGTGTTGCTTTGCCCACATTGCCCCGAGCCCTCCAGCTCAGTTCTCCTCTCACCTGCCTGTCCAGCTCATCTCCTGCACTCTGGAGGAGGGCAATGATTCTCCGGATGGCTTCATCTGCGGAGAGAGATGCCACGTTATCTCCAGCCCTTTCTCTAAGCCTCACACCCAATGCTCTGTTTAGCCCCCAGGAAAAATCCCCTGAGCAATGTGTATCCACCTCCATGCCTCCAAAACCCATCTCAGCCTATTGCTAAGTGACTTTTTAACCTCAGCCAGCAAAACCACCCTCCTGCCTTCAAATTTCCCTCTCCCCAAATCAAGCCCTGATACTGAAAACCTCCCCCAAAGTTTTCATTTAGGTCATGTAAGCCCCAAGGTCAGGACTGAAGCAGGGTTTAGGTCCCATGTAGGCTCTGAAGATGAAGAGCTTCCAAGGGCAACACTCACCGACCCCATTGGTGCTGGCCAGACATGGTGGCTCCTCACATCCACGTGC